TCGCGATATTGGAGTGATGGAGCCTATATCCCCTGGAGACATTTATAAGGTTCAGATCTTTGGAATAACACCATTTTTCTGTATCATTTCATATGTATTCCTTGAGGAAATTATCTTCAAGGTTTAGCCATCTGAGCTTGGTGGTTTTCTATTACATTTACTGTGTGTCCATTTACTGACTACCTCATTAGTTCTTGATTCAGCTTTTCTATATTTCATTATTTATTTATTTATTTACTTATTTATTTTTGTTTTGGCTGTTTTTATTTGGACCTCAGGCTCATTTGCTGGTTCGCCACGGACACCACGGCATTGTGGCAAATGTTGACTCAGCAAGGCAAAACTTGGCTGCAACCTTTGTCAATGCATTTGTCAATGCTGGTTTTGGTCAGGTAAGGTGTATACCACATCTACATCCAAAATTTGTTATACGCTTATTGATTTATTATTCCGTATTTGAATGAAGTACTCTCCAGTCCCTACTTCCGTGGGATTCTACTGGGTTGTTTGTTTTTGAATGAAGTGCTCATACCTTCAGTGTATTTTAGGACAAGCTGATGATTGTTCCATCATCCTCAACAAGTTGGCTTGAACATGAGAAAACCAGTGCTGCAGCAAGTGTTGTATGTTGTTTGGTTGTTTTCTCTTGATTTATATGGTGCACATATTTTCTGGAGGTACTAATATCTTTCCTCCAATCCGTTTAGGGTATGATCATGCTTTGGGATGTTGATGCTGGGCTCGCAGAAATTGACAAGTACTTTCATAGTTCCGATACACATGTTAAGGCTGGTGCTCTTATGGCAGTTGGAATAGTCCATTGTAACGTGAAGAATGACTATGATCCTGTGAGTTCTTAAAAATTTTCCCTACTACATGTCTATTTTGACTCCAACTCTGACTCATATTATATAGATCTAATGATCTTTCACAGGCATTTTCCCTTCTAGCCGGGTATGTGAATAACCAAGATTCCTCTATTAGAATTGGTTCTATAATTGGACTTGGACTAGCTTATGCAGGTTCTCAGAATGAACATGTATGACCCCCACCCTCTTATGATTTGTTGTTTCCACTGCAAAGTTGTTTGACAAAAAAGTTGTTATGTATCTGAATCTATACCTCTTCGTATGATTGATTGACACCCAATTGTTCTTCAGATACATCAAAAGCTTGTTCCAATACTTGGAGATACAAATGCGCCGCTTGATGTGATTGCATTCACAGCAATTTCATTAGGGTTAGTATATGTGGGTTCATGCGATACAGATATTGAAAAGGATATTGTACATTCCATGATGAAGCGGAGTGAGTCTGATTTGGGGGATACATTGGGCCGCTTCCTTCCACTTAGTCTCGGTCTTCTCTACCTAGGGAAGCAAGTATGACGGCTCTCTGTAATCTCTACTATTGTACATGAAGTGGAGTTCTTTGTAGTCAGATTGCATCAAGTATATGCACTTCTACATTTAGAACTCAGAAAATGGTAGTAAAGGATAATAAAAAGGATAATAAATTTTCATACTCCGTATTTGGTTTACCTTGGAGAATAAGAAAAAGAATCAAATATGATTATAATATTTTTTTACATATATTTATATTTCCTAGTCTTTGAACAAATATGTACTCTTGAGTTAGAGTTTGGAGCATTCTTTTATCCCCCCCCCACACATTTTTTTTCGAACTCTCTATTTTCTCCTTAATTTTGTTCCTTAGGATTTTCAGATTTCCAACAGACTCGCACATTTTATTGTTTATGTGATTCATTGCTTATTAGTCACATTATCATATACTAACAGGATGAAGTGGATGAGGTCACATATGCGGTTTCATGCACTTTCAGTGATAATAAGATAAAAAAATATTGTGCTATGGCCCTACTTTCTTGTGCCTATGCCGGAACAGGGAATGTGCTCAAGGTGGTATTTTAATGAAATGAGTGGTCAAAATAAACCTTTCCCACTATACTGTTGTTGCTAAGTGTCCTTTGTCGCAGGTTCAATACTTTCTTCGTGAATGTGCTCAACATTATTTTGAGAATGGTGGAAGCTACCAGGGACCAGCTGTACTTGGTATTGCTATGGTGGCAATGGGTGAAGAGCTTGGACTTGATATGGCTATACGGTCTTTTGAACATCTTCTGCAGTACGGTGAACTTAATATCAGAAGGGTTGTTCCTTTGGCTCTTGGCCTCCTTTGCATATCAAATCCAAAGGCGAGTCTTGCTGCATCTCCACATGGGTTATATGCATTTGTACTAGTTTTTTAGTTTTAACCCCCCGCGTTAGTAAGGTACAACTTTTCTAATTTTTGTGGACTTTATCAATTGACTTTAAAGGCCTTCAAAAGTTCTTGAAATATGACACTTTTTTGGGGTTGAGACCTTTTTTTTATTAAAATAATCTTCGTCATCCTTAGGGCATGCCTCCAATTAATATTTTATTACTCTTGTAACATGCATTTCCTTGCTTTTCCCCCATATACAGGTCAATGTCATGGACACATTAAGCAGACTTAGTCACGATTCTGACCCTGAAGTGGCTATGGTATTGTGAAATAAAGAGACTTTTTAGTCATATCTCCTACTGGTTTATGTTTCTTCAGCAATGAGTGAATGAATTTCTGAATTCCATAGGCTGCCATAATTTCGTTGGGGTTGATAGGGGCAGGAACTAACAATGCTAGAATTGCTGGAATGCTTCGCAGTTTATCAAGTTACTATTGTGAGGGAGCTGACCTTCTGTTCTGTGTAAGGATGCTCTACATGTGTCCATACATACATACATATTCGTAGAGGATTATTTTCTTCTGCATCTTTAGAAGATGGGTTAGTAGTTGTTTGTCTTAATTCGTCTTGTTGTAGGTTCGGATTGCTCAAGGCATTGCCCATTCAGGAAAGGGGCTACTAACACTCTCTCCTTATCACTCTGATAGGTTTCTAGCATCTCCGTAAGTGTGCTCTCTTCTCATCCAAACACATCGGAAACAGAAAAAGTATTCTTTACCATTTATATGTAATTATGTTGTTTCTTAAAAAAGAAAAAAAGTATTCACTCTCATTTTTGGTCCTCTATCAACTGGCTTTCTTTGTATTACAATTTGAAGTTTCCCTTAAAAAAAGGGAACAATTTATGGCCTGCAAGCACTACAACCTGGGGATTTCTTAAATAAGAACAATACGAGCCTTTTTTCATTTCCTTGTCAGATTGTTTGTTTTCTTTTCGTATAAAAAACACCTTTTTCTTAGAAAATAAGTTATCCCAAAATACACTCCCGAATTGTAAAGCGTTCTTCATTACCAATTTAGCATATTTTTTTAAAAGTCATGCCACATTTCATTCTCTAAACCATCTTAACTCATGCCAAGTTGCCAACTACACTCTCAGGACATCTTTAGCCGGGCTGTTAGTGGTGCTTCATGCTTTCCTTGATATGAATGCTCTCGTATTGGGGAAGTACCATTATGTACTGTACTTCCTCGCCTTGGCAATGAAGGCATACTCTCTCTCTCTCTCTCTCTCTCTCTCTCTCAAGCTAGTTCTCAACGATTCACTTCAAACCAAAGTTCTAAAAACATAAGCGTAGTTTTTTTTCCAGCTATTAGTTTCTTGTTTTGACTTAACATATGATCGATGTTCTTTGCAGCCGAGGATGCTAATGACAGTGGATGAGGACTTGAAGCCACTGTTGGTACCAGTGCATGTGGGCAAAGCAGTTGATGTTGTTAGTCAAGCAGGCCGCCCCAGGACAATCACTAAATTCCAGACACACTTAACTCCAGTTCTTCTTGATGTTGGTGAAAGAGCTGAACTTGCCACCAACAGGTAAAGTCATCTCCCATTCCTTTTCGCTTTAAAAATAGTAATTTAAAACACTTAAGTTATGACAATGATCTAAAATCATCTTATGCACCTTTTCATGCAGATATATTCCCTTATCGCCTGTTCTAGAAGGATTTGTCATATTGAAGGAAAACCCGGAGTACCAAGACAGTAATTAGTTTCCACAACACGAGTTTATAGACTTCATGGTTTTCATTCTTTTTGTGGGAGGTGAGTAATAACTTCAACCTCACATTCACAGCGGCAAAATCACAAATTTTGGAGTTTTCCTATAAGATCCATGTTAGCCATGACTCTTTAGTTGAGTATGTAACACGAGAGTTGGCCTCTCACAGTTTTTTCTCCCATTGTATTCAGAATTTGAATTCATAGTGTGCAATTGAGTTTATATCTTTTATCCACCCTTCCTGATTTTCCATCTGTGTTTTTTCTTTTTGCATTTTATTCTGAGGTTTGTTTCAAATTGATCACAAAAATTGATCAATTTTGGTGTTGTGCAGATTATCTATACATGAGAACTAAGAAAATGAGAAATGTGGTTGAGAGTTTTTTTCAAGAGAAAAAAATAATACGGAGTGTTAACATAATGGTTTTCTTAAAAGAAATTAAGAAATACTTCACTTTCCGGATTTAGTTGTTCCCTTGTATTCTTTGTTAAAATTTATTTATTCACTTTTTTATATCCAATAAAGAAATTATGATAAATCATCTAAAATATTCTACAGATAGGATATGAGTATATTTGATATTAATGGATGAAAACCTCGTTTAGAAGATTAATTAGACATTTTAAATGAGATTTTTAAGAAAATTTCAATTAAATTTGATTGAGGAATAATTTGAAAGAACTAGGAAAAAAAGTAAAGAAAATAATTTAGTGCAATTGATATGACAAACTAAAAAAGGATTCCAGTTAAGTTTTAAAAGAGGGTTGGTATTTATTGGCAGTTTATTTATACGATGGACAAAACAGCTCGTATGAGTGTAAGAGCATCAGGGAATTCACAAAGAACATTGACAAATTAAAGTTGCACTAGAATGAACGTAAAATACGCAAGCCAAGCGGTTAAAACTCCAACCGAAGTAAATAATGTAGTAAAATATAATAAGAGAATGTGGGCATAGATACACAAAAGAATAAGTGTGGTTAAAGGGTGGAGTTACTAACTACTTTTACTATTACTAGTGTAAATAAATGAATGACACAAAGCTCTTCCCTTTTATTTATAAAATGATGATGATAAGAACAAAGTTCATGCCAAGTCAATTAGCTGTTGAGGGGTCTCAGTGGCAATCTATCTTCAACAATGGCAGCAGCTTCAAGAATCTTATTACTAGTAGGAGAATGGCATGTGTTGTTCTGAGAGTTCTCTTTTATGGGATCATCGAAATTCCCATTGCTGCTGTTCCGTAACATTCTTCCCAGTTTTTTACTCAGCTGCACATCTTCCATACACATTTGGCTCATCCTGTCTGAAAGTCCCACAAACTCTGATGTCATGTTGCTGACATATGCGTTCAGCTGCTCGACGTTCTTGTGAAGGACATTGAACTTGTTTTCAAGCTCCGAACCGGCCGTGGTTGTTTTGTCTTTGATCATGGTCTTTTCCAGAACCTCCAAAAGTCTGCTCGAGAAGCTGCTGGTTGAATCTTCAAATTCCAGTTCCAGAGACATCACAAGTTTCTGGAGGTAATCTAATCTGTGCTGCAGATTCTTATGGTTTCTGTCTGCTTCTATTTGTGTTAAGATGGCTCTCTCAACTTCTTTTCTCAGCCACTCTTCTTCAAACAGCTCTAGCGTTTCCTGAAATGCCCTTTTCTTGTTCTCGTTCTTCTGCTGCAAAGGGATTTTCTCCTTCAGTTCATTTAACTCTTCTTCTTTCTGAGCTAGAATCTGGACAAGGCGGTCTTTGTCCCTTCTCAATTCATACTCAAAATCCACCTGCTCAAACAGCGAGGCTTCCACTTCTCTGCGCATTTGATGGTTCTCTTCCAGGCTGGCTTCTAACCGCTCAGCTAAACACCTCCATAACTGCAATTCAAATTCGACCTCCTTTGACTGGTAGAAGTTGTCCTCAAGCTCTTTGTTTGCTTCTTCCAGCTCACTTTTTGTCCTCTCCAACTGCTCCAATGCTTCATTGAGTGTTTCCTGGAGTACGTGAGCCTCTATCTGGGATTGAATCTTCTGTTCTTCAACCAAAGTCAGGTACGAATGAGAATCCTGCAACTCCTTCTGCAGATTGGTTATTGATTTGTCTTTGTTCTCCAACATAGAAGCCCATTCGGATTCTTTGCTTTTGAGATGTGTTGAGCACTCTCTATGAATCTGTTCCAAACTCTTGAGCTTGTTTCTGAGCTTTGACGATGAAAAATTCCCGGCTTCTTTGATCCCAGCTTCTTGGAGTTCTTTGATAGATGCCATCAATTCTCGGTTCTCTTGCTCTACCTTTCTGAATTGGTATTCCATCTCCTTGTACGTTGTTTCCTTTGTACGTAACACTTCTCTTAGATTTCTTATATCGTTATCCCTTTGATTGCTCAAATTCTCGAATTTCGCCTTGGCTTCCTCGTATTCTGCAGAAACATTGTCAAAGAAGGCTTTGGATTCTGAAAGTTGAACTTCAAGAGATTTCCTCTTGCTCTCTTCATGAACCAGAGCCTGATTGCACAACTGGAGTCTGCTTTGAAGATCTTCTGAATGTCTTGTTTGGGATTCGAAGTTCATCTGCAAAGTTGAGATTTTATCACACAATGTGTCTTTCTCCTCATCCCAGTCCTTCTCCCTCTGGTGGAATTGCTTCATTATCCTCTCATGGGCCTCTACGAGGTGATCATACTGTTCTTTCTTCCATTTGAGCTGATCTTCCAGCTTCCTATTCACCTCCTCTACCTTCAACATCACATCATCATTCTGCTGTCTCAGTTCTTCGGATGCCTTTTCTCCTTTCTTTACTTGAGAAGACGTTTTCTGAGAAGAAGCCACTACAAATTCCCGCAGCCTTTCCATTTCACTTCTGAAAGATTCAATCTTTCGTTCTTGATCCATGTTTCTCGCACTTGCCTCATCTAAAGCCATTGACATGCTTCTGTTGTCTTCTTCAAGTTTCTTGAGCTTCTGGGCAGAATCAGCACGAACCATATCGTTTGCTGAACTCAGACATCTGATGGCAGATTCTTTCTCTTTCAGATTTGATTCAAGCTCTTCACACCTCTGGTTTGAAAGCAACAGTTCGGCTTCTTTCGTGTTCAACTCCAGTGTGAGCTTCGCCAGTTCTGAATTCGCAGACTGAGTCTTGAGTAATTGCTCATTATAAGCTCTCATGAAGCCCTGGCATGATTCGGATTTCTTTTTGTTCTCTGTCTTGAGCCTCTCAATCTCACCAAAAGCTTCATCTAGTTGTTCATGCAATGTACCCATCCTTCCAAATTCCAATGTCAAGAACACAACAACCGCCCAGTAGAATTCCGCGGCAATGTCAAGAATATAAAATGAATTGTCTTTGTAGTACACCACCTGCTCATATACATGCAAATTCTGGTCAAGAAACAAAAAGAGGATTGCACAAAAACAGCAAACAAAGAAACACTTTGGAACAATGAACTGTTTTCCATGTTTAGTATATTGTCTGTAGAATGTAGTAATACAAGTCCTGGTCTTACATGATTGAGAAGTATTACATAATTTGGAGGGCAATATCATCTTTTCGAGTCCTGGTATTTATGATGTTTCAACACTAATTCATCCAAAATTTGGCTTACAAAAAAGAAATTCCTTCAAAAGGCACAAAAATTATATCTAAATCCAGGAATTGAACTTGTGAATATCCCACAATTGTAAAGAAATGAACCAGATCTCTGAGATCTAGCATTCAGCAGCTCAATCAATATAGAAGTGTCAGAATATTCAACAGAAAGGGAGTAAGGGAGGATTCAATCAATTATTTGACCAAATTCAGGACCAAAAACTACTCAACGCACAAAAAACACAACATTCATATTAACATATACAAAACCAATCAACAAAAAAAAAGAAAACAGAGTGAAATAAAGAAACCTGTGGCGACTGTGGCAATGGAGATGGGGGGGGCAGACCCGCGATCCGTAGTCGTGATGGGGACGAAGGAGATCGGGATGGCGCCGATAGGGGACGACGATGAAAATGGAGACGGGAGCTTCGATGAAAATGGAGACGGGAGCGTCGATGAAGGTGGAGATGGGAGATAACAGAAGAAGAGCAGGGGATACGCGAAACTCTGTGTGTGTGTGTGTGTGAGAGAGAGAGAGAGAGAGAGAGAGAGAAGCTTAGTGAAAGGAGAAAGCGGTTTCGGTGGTTTCAGGAATCAGATAGCCGTTGGGAGGGAGAAATTTTAAATTCTCAGGGGAGATAAAGAGTTTCCGTTGGGCCGTTTAAAGCTAACGGGTCTCTGGTTTCTTGGGTAGGAGTTACGCATGTTTTTAAAATGGGCTTTTGGGATCCTCATGTGGCCCATATTTTTAATCGACATCATTCTCAGACCGGTGGTGTGACAGAAGCAAGTATTCGATAGCAGAAATGGCAATAGCTGCGGCCACTAGATCGATTTTCCGGTCGTCGGCGGCGGCTCGTGGAGCCGCCTCGAGGATTGCGTCGGAGGCCAAAGCTGCTCGCGCCCCTTTCCGCGCCGCATCTAGAAGAAGCCTTCTGGCTCCGCGCATCTTCAGGTATTGTTTCATTGGCGCGTTCGTATGCCGATTGTGTTTCGATTATAATAGATGTGTTAGATGCGTGTGAATTGGGGGAAATTTGCATCTGAAGGTGTCCGGCGGAGCTGAGCGCTTGCGTGGAGTCGCTGCAGCCGTATCACACCGCCACTGCTTCCGCCTTGATGACGTCGATGCTTACGGTTGCTCCCCGCAGCTTTGGTTGGCTTTCAGAAGGTATCTCCCTTTACTTTCATTTGAACGCATTCCCATTTTTCTGTTTAAATGATTTTGGTGATGATTAGTTTCCAATTGCATCCCCAGTGCTGATTCGATGTTTGTGTTCTGTGACTGATTCTTGTGGTGTGTCTCTATATGGTTCGTATTCGTCCAAGTAAAGAACGTATTTCGCTGATGAAATCATTGTTTGTACTCAGTTAGACACATAATTGGTTTGATTGTGAGGAACTAGCATTGCCTAATTCCAGTCACAGACAATTTGTTTGTTTTGACTTTCTGAGAGTAATTCGAGAGTGTTGTTCAAATATACTAAGAGAGGCTTATATTATTTAATATTCTTGGTTTGTTGAACCAATGTAGAGTGTCAAGTCTAAGTCATTTAACATTTTAACTTTCTAGGGATTGTGAGTTTTCTTTACCCTTAATCCCATTCTCCATTCTATCTCATAGTAAATTAAAATCCTAGATTTTATTCATTGTGGTAAATAATACACACCCATGATTCCTTCAGTATTGAAATTCCATCCCTCGTGGAGCATATTTTTTACAGTTCATTGTATTTACCATCCTTTCTTTTCACCATTCCATCTGCACAAGAAAGGTGTAGAATTGTAATCCAGTCCTGCTTAGATATATTGCTTCCTACCATAAACTTTATCTAATCGAGTCTGTCTAACCTCTGGGTTTTCCTTCTTGATTTAGGTATCTAGCAACACCTCTAGGGTCCTCCTTTTCCTCATAAAACAACTGTTGGTAAGTGGTGATTTCCGTTAGATCTCATTCAGTCATTTGTGTCATATACTGTGGGAACCTTTTACGCTTAGGCTTTCATGGATTCGGGTGGTTGAGTTTACATTTTTCGTTGCCCCATTGATAAGATAAGGCCCAAAGCTATACTAATAGGCTAGTGCAGTGTTGCTATTGTTCCTTGCTATCATTTCGAATAATAGTCAGTTACATGTGGGATTGTTTTGAACGTCACATTTTAATAAGGTGCTACCCACATTTTTTCCTAATGTAGGGGTTGACAAGACTAGATGAAGAGGGACAAGCAAAGATGGCTGACTTGGATTTCTTTGTGTTTCAAAGCCCCAAATTTTAGTAGAAAAATGAAGTTTAGATGTTGGACTTGTTTCAAAAGTTGGAGTTTCTGTAGAAAATATAAATTTTACTTGTTGAGATTTCAAAGATGAAAGGAGACTAAGTAAATAGGAGTACAGTAAAAATTCAGAAACAATATAAATTCTACGAACTAACAAAGTTGTGTTTGTATACGCTAACGGTAGACACGGTAAAAGAGTAAAGATACTTGTTATACAAACGACTCTAAATTCTGGTTGAAAGTGCGTTCTATTCACTGATAAGTCTCTCAAAGTAAGACAATCAATCAAATATCAACTCACTGTTTATTTTTATTTAATCAGCTGTCAGTGATGATGTGTGATGGGTTTTTGGAGGGCTTAAGGTAATTTGCAAAACCACAACATTCTTTTGTGTTTGGATACTCTTAAACTTCGTGTTTGGCCTCGAAATTATTGATTCTTTTATGAGACGTATTTGGGAATAAGTTTTTGGTTGATTTATCATTTATAATGTTTGTTTTCTTTCTAATGAATGCAGAATAGTAAAACATTGTGTTGATTTTTTTCTCCTCTTTTTATATGCATGTATGAATCAGCCTGCAGTGATGATGTATGATCCTGCCTGGTGCTGTCTGTCACTTATGGTGTGGAGTTGTCTTCTTCAATCCAGAGACTGTACCCAGCCTGATGATATATGGCTATGGTCTTGAAAATATCTTTTGTAGTAGCAGAAGCATTAAGATTTTTTTATTGATGTAAGAGAAGAAAATTACAATCAATTTCCTTTGTTCAAACAAAGAAAGTCCCATTTGTGGGATTCACTTCTTAATGCAATCTATCAATTTCTTGTGATCATTCTCTTGTTCTTCATGTTCTTGCTCTTCTTCGTGTTCTTGCGCCTCTTCTTTATGTTCTTGTGGCTCTTCTCTTTCAACCACAGCTTCAACCTTTTCTCCAGAATGGGTTCTATGATATCTTATTAATGCGAGGCATATGAATGCTGCAGAAGCCATACAACAAAATTTAGCCATTATGAAATGCACTGGTTAAAAGCGTTTTTATAACCAACAAAAAATTATCAAACAAAAACCAACTAGAGTTATTTTTCCATATTTTGAAAGAAAAAAACAAATCGAAACTGACCAAAAACCACAGATTGCAGAAACTACCTGTGAAAATGCGGGTTTTGACAGAAGTCAAATTCCAAAAGCCCGACAATGCCGATGCGGCTATGACCTTCTTGTGAGAGCAAGCACCCCATGCCTCCATCGCACGGCGTCTAATGCACGCTCCTGATTCTCAAGCACATTACGAGTAGGCAAAAAAAATCATATAATCTTTAGCTTTGTCGAGGGAAAGGATTTGAAAGATCATACCTATCTTATGTATTTTTGCGTTGTAAGATGAATATAGCCTCGGAGCAGTGAAGCTAGCGAAAAACCCTGAGAAAACAACATAAATTTCAATTCTTTTATTGAGGCTGTGTTTGGGTGATTGAATAATGAGAGCCTTACCAAGAGCACATAGCCTCCACAGGGTGAGCAGGTGACCATACTCAGCTCCCAACATCAAGAATGGCACAACCTTAAATTGACAAAAGGGAAGAATGTTTTACTTGTGGGTCAATGTGAGCTAAGTACTGCAGAATGACAAAAGGCAAAATGTTTTACTTTGAGGGTCATGGCTGGCTCTCCAGAAAACAGATCCCTTGTTTTTGAAATTGTGAGATTCACTGCTGGAAGTATGAATCTACCCATTCTCAAAATGTCATCTTCCTTCAGCTTCATTTCACTCTTTGCTCCAAGAAGTTCTCTGGTAACTCACCACAGAAACCTCTTTGAATAACAAAAGGAGGGATCTTGACAAAAAAAAAATATGAATAATACTTCTCTATGGATGAAAGTAAAAACCAGGTACCTTGGCCGGAGCGTATTCAAGATGAAGGACACAACCAGAAAGAAAAGTCCCATTTCAGATATAACAGAGAAAATGCTGCAATTTACAGTGGTTTACCAACAATGAATGTCAAAAACAACACAAAAAGACTTCTTTTTTTCTTTTTTAAAAAAGAAGAATAGATAAAGCCATACCAAAAGTTAATTCCACTTGCAAAACAGGAAGATAAGAAGCAGAGAGACCCAAAACCAAACCAAAAACTTGATCTTGCAACGTCTCTCCACATCAAAACATCACTCATCAGCTTCCCGATTCGATCCAGATCAATCCCGTCTTGAGTCTCATCAGATTCTACTCCAAGATTTAAACTTTCCATGAGTTCATATAACCAAGAAAGAAATAAAAAAATTCCATAGTACAATTGATCCATCATCAACAACTTACTTGGAGAAGGGATTGAAGGAACTAAACTAAGCTTATCTTTCTTTGAACTGACAATTTGCCTCTTCTTTCTACGCCGAACGCCCTCCTCTCCATCTCCGACCCCTGATTCGTTAAAGCCTCTCATCGTTTCTTGATCTATTCGCTTTCTTTGTCTCCTGGCATTCCTAGGGGAAGCAAGCACCGAAGAGGCATTTCGGGTCCTGCGTCTCCGGCGAGCGCCGGCGGGCTCGGCGACGTGGTCAACAGTTTCAAGATTCTCTGGTAAACGTGACTTCGTTCTCCGATTTGGGGAAGGGGAGAGGAGAAAGAGTTCTTGATTTGGGACTGCAGGGGAAATTTCAGCAGCCACATCGATTCGACGAATTTTGGAGCGCCTTGAAGACGATCGTGTTCGGTTTCTGGGTTCCGGCGGCGGAGGAGTGGAATCCATGAACTTGGTTTTTTCCGGCGACCTGATTTTTGAAAATGCGGAGAATATGTGGAGGTGGTACAAAGAGAGACGTTGGAATATGTTTGAATTGACGGATTTTGTAGGGTTTTTGTGACTCCATGCTAGACCCGATCAAATTTGTGGGTCGGGTTAGGCCGACCATCTTAGCAATCCAACAAATAAAATCCAAACCCATACAGTTTTTTTTTCTTTTTTCACTCACTTTTAAGGAGTAGTATTTTTTCCGTCCCAAAATATTTGTTCAGTTTCCTTTTACAATATAAGAATTTTTGTTTATTTGTACGTTTTTATTAATTATTTTACAAAATAAAATATTCTTGACAACTCTTATTTTGAGATATTTTTCATGTAGTCTTTAAATATATAAATTTTATTTTTTATATTTATATCGATATTTATGCCTCGTTTTTTCGAAATAAGGTAAACATTTAGGGATTGAGGGAGTATTGAACATCCTTTTCAATAACTAACTTAATATTCGTATAGCCAAATAAGGTAATTTAATTTGGAACGGTTAGAGTATTATCAAATGAATGCAAAGATTCTATTTGAGCGTTTTTAATATTAAAAAACTTATTTGAAAAAAATAAAATCAAGTCTTCATTTATAAAATTTTAAATATTCTTTTTCTAATATGTAAATTTTATTTTTTAACTTAGTAAAATAACTCAAATATTTTAATATAATTTTAGTCAAATGTTATAAATTATTTTCTTTAGATATTTATAAACGAGAAAGTGTGTGTGTCTATATGTATGTGTTTATATATATATATATATATATATATATATATATATATATATTATTTAATTTTTAAATATGTTTAAACCACCGGTTCGACCAGTTGAACCACTGGTTCGACCAGTGAACCAGTGAACCAATACCTTGACCGGTTCGGTCACCGGTCCGGTTCTGAAAAACTATAGTATAAGCAAATAAAGGCATAAAACAATTAACTATTAAAGAGTATATAGATAGGTATGACCTTTTTAATGCATTTGTTCACTTTAAGTTGCTACAATAAAATTTGGAAAATTTTAATTAGAAATGAAAAAAACTTACATATGATAACTACTACAAAAATGATTTAATTACATTTATATTACGAAGTAAAAATGCTTTAGAAAAAATTTATTTTACAAATAGTCCATTTTAAACTCCCTTCATTCAACAATTTACTTCTCTAATTGACTTTACATATATATTTAGGACGTAAAAATTGCTTCGATTTTCCCTTTTTGCCCTAAGAGCATTTATAGTGGAGGACTTTTCTGCCCTACCTTAACTCTTACCACATCAGTATTCTACTAACTTTTCACTTTGTTCTAAGATTCTGTAATGTTGTCGCCCTGAAAATTAGTCTCTTTAATTTATACATTATTTATTATTTTTAATTATATTTTTAAAAAAAACAAAATACATATAATTAAAATAAAAATATTGAGATGGACATTCTTTATTAAAAACAACATTGATATAAAAACGAAATACACAAAAAAATATAATTAATTTTTTTAAAAAAAAATAGGTCGAAAATAAAAACGAAATTCTAGATAGAAAAAGTTGGTTTGAGAGATGAAGAGAAATTAAGAAAATAGGTAAATTGAAATATGAGAGTGGATGGATTGAAGTGGAAGATATGTTAAATTTATAAGATTGAAGAAAAAAAGGAAAATCAGGCGTTCGTTGCTGACCGCTGTAGTGGCAGTCGCCACGAAAAACCGCCGAGTTTTTAGCCCGACATTGCGCCGCTCTTCGGACGTGCTCTGGGGCTTATTTTGGGACAGGAAGGCTGCAATGGGCCGTGGGAGAAGGCCGCGGTGCTTATTTTACGGCGGTGCTCTGGGGCTTATTTTGCGGCGGGAGAGGGCTGCGGTGCAGCACGGGGAACCGTGCAGCGGGGCGACTTCCTCTCCTCATTGTAAATGCCCTTAAGTATTTAGAGAAAGTAAATAAAGTTAAAAAAAAATATCGATGAATATTGGAGATATAATAAATAAAGATAAATAATGAGAAATAAGATAAAGTGTATTCAAAACCTTCATGGAGGATTGGAGGGTATAATTATACTCATTCTCACATCTCTAGCAATCCATTTTTTGCATCTGATAACAAGAATGCCACGTGTCCTCATTGTTCCAAGTCACTATTCAGCCAATTAATCGCTTGTTGAAAATCGCTAAGCCCATTTAATTCCAGCGTAGAACTTATTTAATTAAGGAGTAATAGTTACGGAGTATATAACTTACTAGTATTTTGACTCGTGCGATGCACGGGGTCGAATGAAATTGTTGTCGATTTTGAAATTTTTCAATGAAATATTTATTCCAGAATCAAGTAAATATATTTATGTCACAAATTTTAATCAATGGAAAACAATGACAAAGTAGAATATAATATTTGAGAAATTGAAAGTGTACTCGAAAAAATCTTTTTTAATTCCAAATTTTTTGAAAGACTTTAGTGTACACAACATTTTTTGTATCGTTGTAAGCGTTTTTATTTTCGTCTAGAACCAATATTTTTAATCATGTCTTTTTCTTTACTCGTGAAACAGTAACATAAAGCTAACCATGAGTATATCCCGAATTGGTTAAAAATAATATAGCAAAGGACAATGTTTGACATTGACTTTTGTTTATAGTCATAGCAAAACATAAGACTATTATATTGAGAATTCTATCAGATGATACCAAATTTTATTCAGGGTATGTAAACCTTTTTCTCAAACGTGATTTCTCGAAACATCAATTCCATTGATAATGTTCTTTCACATCTATTTAATGATTAATCTTTTACCATTACACAATCCATATATTTGGTCAATGTTCTTCAATAACATAATCGGTACCCTCTTTTAAAAACTATTTTATGGTTTGAATCACCTAACATTTGATTTCATTAAGAAGAATTGAACTGTTATCTAATCGTGTTCAACACCTACATCTAAATATGTTTGGCATGAAGAATGAGAACTTAAGTACTCTTTTTTACCTCTTAGAATAAGGGATATGACAAATTCATTTGTCATTTAACAAATTCGATTGTGGGTGCTAATAATGCACTATCCTCAAAAAAAGAATAATTTTTCATGTTCTCTAGTAGGTTTGGATAAGTAAAGTCCACTATACTCTTGAGGGGGTAACTTGTGTCAAGCATCAAGAATTCAAGCGGGATTTCAACGTTAGCAGTTTCATTGATCAGTTGTCCAAGTTTTCCATCTTTGACTTTGCTTATCAATACAGAAAAAGATTATGTGTCTCTATCAGTGCAAGAGTGTGTAGATAAATGCAATCTCATATTCTTAGCTAACCTATAAACTTTACATTACAATCACATTTGTGAGAATTAGTGGTAGCACCCACAATTTCCTCTCTCTACGCTATAAGTAGACTTGAAAGAATTTGGATAAAATCACCTCCGAGTATAGCTGTTTTCCCTCCGAATGGTTCATTTATGAAGTTATTATTAAAAAATCTCATTACATCTCTCATTTTTCCGAAAAAATTTAGTGGGTGACTCATGGTACTTGTCACTAATAATGTGACGAACAACTTTTTTAGCAGATTCTCACATCTTGACTTAACAACCTCTTTCATACCTTCAATAAATTCTTTATCATCGGTTAATAACCTCAATGCTTCATATTCTTCCTTGAATGCATTATGTAGAACATTGTTAACTGTCCTCAAGCGCTTATAATTTGTACATCCTTGTTGGACATTTAATACTTCTCAAGTAGTATAACTCTCTAGTTTCTGTAAGCACATATTGTAGTCTGCCTATTGACGGTCGTTGTTGCCTTTGAACTATTTCCGCACTTTGTGGTTGTACATAAAATATTCTCGAAACTCTTTGCATACGTCAAATTTTATCCCGCATTATATTTTGTATTGAAAATCATCCAAGCTTCAAACATTGAGGCTTTATCAATAATTTCTTCGACAACATCTTTTAGTTTTTGTTGGTGTCTAAAGGTTACGAATTTTAGCCTTGGGTTATAAAAATTCAATCT